CCACTCACAACAGGCTGCTTTCACTGACAGTAGTGATAAATAGTGTCCTGCCCATCAGTCCTCAAGGCCTCAAATACACAGACAGAGACCAGCTATTTTGTGCTCATGGTTTTTATGGAGAAATTATCTGCTCTAATTTCAGATGCATTACTCTGTACTTCCTACTGTGAACAATTTTGGGCTTCTTTTTTATGTGACAGCTTTACAGAAAATGAAAACTGATCATCCCAGCAGTAGCACCACGAGAGGAGGTCCTGACAAGCTGCAGACCCACAGCTCCTACACACCAATATCAAGCAAGGGCAAAGCTGCTCAGGAGCACTGTGAGGAAGGGAGTCATTCCCTGGCCACAGCAGCTGGGACCTGTTTGCTTCCCAGTCACCTCTGAAGAACACGTTCCTTTTTCTTCTCCAAGCGTCCAAGCACACACACAGGTATCATCATCTTGCAAAGAGTTTGTGCCTGCCCTGGTGACAGTCTGTCCCTTATTTTAGTTGTGTGAAAGGGCGCTTTTGGTCATATAAAAAACACCTCAGGTCTGCCAGATGAGCAGCTGCTCCCTAGAACATCAAGGCCTGTGATGGGACATGACAGCAGCCTGACACCTGACCCAACCCACACCCTCACCGTTCACACAAGACTACAGATCTGTCCATCCTTTTTTAGGTGCTATGTGCATTTTAGCCAAGAGAAAGAAATATTTCTGGTCATGTGATGGCCAAGGCACTGCAAGGTCACTCAGAAAGAGTGACAGGGCCAGATGAACCTGTTGGATGTGCCAAACATTTCCTGCAGGTCACAGGATGAGCTCTCAACTGAGAATACTGTATAATAATTTTCCTCAGGTAACTTATCTGAATGAAAATTATTAAGTTAAACTGGTAACTTAAACTTATGTTAAATTATACATATACACCACAGCTGCAACTTACCTGCATGAAAATCCATGAAAATTATTAAGTTAAACTGGTAACTTAAACTTACGTTAAATTATACATCTATACCACAGCTGCTTTTTCGCACAGGCTCTCAATTGGTCTTGTACAACATAATTCAACAGCAAAATCAGTCTGGACAAGGCACAGGACTTCAGTACAGGGCTGTTAGTCTCAGTTTTCAGAGCTTATATTCACACACTGAAAGGTACCTTGAGTACTTACATTGCTCTGTGGACATACCCCAAAACAATTCCTACTTCCTAATTTTCTAAAACTGAAGTTCTAGAGCAAACAATTAATCACTGTGAATTTGCTATTCAAAATTAATTTCAAATCTGAGCACAACTAAATCAAACTATTGTATGTATATATAGCTTATGCTCTAAAAAGAACAAGAAAAACTCACTGAAGAACACAGGTTAATTATAAAATAAAAATTTGCTTTATTTTAATAAGAAAGGAAACTAATAGGGTAAATTAATTATTCTTCCAATTAACTTCTTCAGTACACAGAGAAAGCTGGTTAGACTATTTCACCCTGCAAGAATATAACTAGAACATAAGAACCACTTAAGGAAGGAGAGAACCAAGCCTGATACCACTGGAATGTTCTTCAGGCTGGGCATTTGATGTGAGCAATTGTTCACCAGTAAATAGCACAAAATCACTTAGAGATCCATTCTCCTCTTCAATTTATTTCAGGAAATAGAACTCTGATAGTTACACCTGCTGAGCTATAAGATGTTCTGCCAATAAACAGAGTTGACATTTGAGGATGCTACCTTTCAGCCAAAACAACACGCTTTGCAACTCAGAAGTCCTCTGCCAAATAGAATCTATCATGTTTCCCTGCCCTGAAAAATCCTGATTATGGTGATTTTTAATTTTTTTTTTGACCTCCATAAATATTGAAAAATTTTGCTCTGTTGGTTTTGGCAAACTGATCAAATGAACAGAGCAAAGTAAGAATAAAAAATAACAGCTATAAAGTGCAAGTATGGAAGAAATGTTCCTTCTAGCTTAAAGAAAACCATGTTACCACTGTTGTGCAAACACCTCAGTGAAACATACTACAGCATTTGCTCAGTTTTGAGTTAAATTCTACAATTTCTATCACACCAAAAGTTAAAATCTTCACTTGATGAAGATCATAGATTGCTGTTTACTAGTTATCAAAACAACTTGAGTTACTTACAGGGGTATTAGAGCACCTTTCACAGTGAGCCCTACTCAGCGTCAGATTAAGCCCATTCCTACTTTTCCTTCATCAACCAAATAAACATTCTCTTGCAACAGTACAGAAATCAGCTCAAAATAAAAATCTCTGGACCTGACTGAAGAACAAGGAGGTTAACAAAAGTGCTTATTTCATAACTTCTAAAGAAAAAAATGTATGAAATTTCAAGCACTCCAGTAGACTGAGATTATAAACTGAAGCAAGAGGAATCATCTTTACATGCTTTAAATTAACCTTCTCAGAAGTGCCTTCACTGGAACAGTGCCATTAAAATTCAAATTAACTCTAACTTCTGTGTAAACAGAAAGTCTGAACTTAATATTAGTAATTTACAACAGATATCTTGTAAATCTTTCACAGCACTCATCTTCAGGGTAGCATTCAAAGCATATTTCTAAGCAGTTTGAAGCCTAATCCACAAGGAGATTGCTTATCTACAAAGCCACCAGAGTGCTGTAATTTAAAGTATTATGCTGAAAAAAGAGTATGTAGACTATTTTAAGTGGCTTTTTTTCCCCTACTGTTTACAAAAAAAATTTCTGAAGTCTCCATAACACAACTTCCCTACCCTCAACTAGTGAATTACCATCTGCTAATCTCAGGAAGAAAAGAGAAAAAGGAAAAAAAAAAGAAATTATAATTCCCCAGGTATTAGCCTGTTTAACAGTAGCTTAACTCCTGCCTTCCATGTAGCTCTTTTCATTTTTATCATTGTTTCTCATCCCAGCCACCCATTTTTCTCCTTCTGTTCATCCTTAACAAGAGCCTCCTTCTCCATCCCAGCTGCCAGTTTCCGAATCCTTAATGCTGCCAGAAGACAGCAGTATGGGGACTGGCTACTTTTGTGCTGGAAACTGCACAAGCAGCAGTTAAACTTTGTAGCATCAATCACACAGCTGGGTCAGCTCTAACCAATACAACTGACAAAGTGGGTGAGCCAGGCGACAGGAGGTTCCCTGGGAGAACACCACACGTTCAAAGACATTTAATTTCAAGTGTCTTCAACACAGCAGCTGAATTGCTGTAATTTATTCTATAAGGACTCAAGCTACCAAATGTGTTTAACACATTTTACCTTAGTGTTGGAAGTCATTAAGAACACACAGCCAGCTCTGATCATCTACAGGTAACCATTAAGGCATTATAATTGTCCTTCTTTGATTTAAGGCTCCTATTTTCCTATTGAAAATTTCAAGTGAAAAAGTGTTGAAAGCCACTATAGAAATCTGATGTTCCTAAAAGAATTCCCTTAAAGGAACACCTGACTGCCCCTCCCATCTGTGTAAATTGCCAGCCTGGGTGCTGACATGATACAGCCTTGGCAGCTGCAGAACCTCATATTGGGCTCTCTGTGTGTGCTGTGCATGTGCCACCACAAAGCTTCCTCTGACATGCGCCCACAAGATGTCAAGGGCAACCTATCAACCACAGCACATCCTGCTGCACCCCTGCATGGACACTGACAGCATCCAGCTCAATGAAACGCTGCCAAAAGGCTGTCCCACTTATAGGATACATTTTCTTACAAGTCTAACACGAAATTCTGGTCTTGCTGTGCTCACTGGGAATTTTACAGCTGACTTGAAGGCAGACAAAATTTCATTGCCCTTTTCAATGTGTCCCATGCAGAGGACATAGGCACTACACATTAAAATAAAAAAATAATAATAGTTTTAAAAATATCTTGGATTGAATATTGCCCAAAACTGGGCATCACTGGTAAGGGAACCAGTCCTATGCCAGCAGAGAAAGCTGAGGCACATCTACATCCTGAGCACCATACACAAGTGACTCTCCACACGTGAAGTTAACAGCAGAGCAAGGGAAGGCACAGAGTAAGGTGACTAACTTAGCCACCTCTGAGAAAGCAGCTGCTTTACAGGGAGACACGAGAAAGGCTGGGACTCTTCAGTTTAAAGAGCTGGCTGAGAGGGATATATCTGATGCCTGCAAAACTGTAAAGGCAGAAGATTAAAAGAATTCAGACCAGGATTTCCACAAATCCTACAATACTAGGCATCAGGAAGACCTGGTGAAATTAACAGTTTAATCAACTGTTAATTGATTAAACAATTCAACTTGTTTAATCAAGTTGATCAAACTTGATTAAAGTTTGATCAACTTAGAATCAATGAAGATCAACTTAGAATCAATGAAGGACAGCATTGCTTTGCACAGAGCACAGTGAAGGCCTAGAATTTGCTGGCACAAAACTGTGGAGTCAGAGAGGACCAGCACATTCAGATGGGACTTGACAAATTCACACACACCAAATTATAAGCACACTCTCCAACATCCCTAGCGTAACAATTGTGGGATATTAGGGGAAAAAGTGGCAAATACACTCATCTGGCTAGCATTAAACTCCTAAATTGCATTTCCCTGTGGATGCAGGCACATTATTTACTTAGATGGTCCACTGGTTGCTCAACATTTAAGTTCTTAGGCATATTGTTATGAAGCAACAGCAAAAACCTTACCAGGAATTATGAGCAAATTTGGCCTGGCTATGCAGGTCAACAGAGACTGCAGCTTTATAAGTCAAGACTGCTGTTTATATTTGCAGAGAAAATTCAGTGGATCATTTCACACTGATACATATAAAAGGCAAATAATCACAGGCATTAGAGACACATTTATTAAGGACTTCTGCTACAGTTTGGGTCTGTTTCAGTGTAACTAACATGCAGAAACTGAAGCATGACTTGCAAAGCTTATTTTGGTAAGCAACGACAATGTAGGACCAAACAATGCTAGTCTCCCTAGATTACATCAATTTCCAGCTTGAAATCTTCAATTGTTCCAGTGCTGTGTTTCTGGCTTACCTTCACTGCACTGAAGCAGAAGGCATATAGGACAATCAGAACAACAAAGCTTCGGGAAATGCTGTACAATGCAGACACAAACCCAGCAGCAGCTGAAATAGAGACATGTGGTAAGTGGGAAGAAAGAAGAACTTTATTTCTGACCCAAACTAAGACGACAGTATAGATGCATCTCAATCTTCCCTGCTACTTAAGCTATAATAAAAAAAAAAAAAACCACTATCAACTGAAAAATCTCGATGCTTCATCTCTCAAGGGCCTTCTTTAATCTCTGACTGAAATAACAAAAGAAAATTTATCACACATCAAATAGCTTGTCAATATGCTTTTCTGTGGAAAAATGCAAAATTTTTTTCCTAGATGTTAACAGAAAAATAAAGTTAGAGGTTTTCTTTTTTAATAAATATAGTAAAGATTCACATCACATATGCCAGGAAAGAGCTCTTTGATATCAACCATAATTTGCAACCTATAGTATTAAAATCTTGTATACAACTTTTCAAAAGCAAAAAGAAATCTAATCAAGTAGGCCTTATAAGTATTCACCCCACTGTTAGATGAATAGCTTAAAATATTTGAGCTTTAAAATGCACTATGTTACATGCAATAATATATTCTGATTTGAGGTTGCAAGCCCAGAAAGATGGCTACTTACCAGAACCACCAAAAAGCAACATATCTATTTGTTCCAAAAGATATATGCAGAAGGTATTGATTTGAGGGAAAAGTCCAAGAAGAGAAATTGCAGGAAAGCAATACAAAAACACTAAGAAAAAAAAAAAGAAAGTAGTATTTTAGAATACAGCCACACATCCAATGTATGGAAAATAAAGAAATATGCATGACATCAGAATAAGAAATTGTTGCAATAAATTCTGATGATTATTTAAGTGAGCATGCCTTAACCTTACCAGCAATGAATACAATTTCCTCCTCATGTATTCCAAATAAATAATAACAATTTTACACATAAGAAACTAAAACTCAGAGTTAACCTCAAGATTGATTTTGGATAAAAACAGTAGCAGAAAAAATAGCATTGCATTGCACTGCAATAGCACTGCATCCTTACTGCTTCTGAAATACTTTCAAGCTTATATTTGTTCCTTTCAAAGTAGAGAAATTTTAATTTGAAGACTTTGGAACTTCTTCCTTGAATCTGAGATGGTTCAAGAACAGCTACAAAAATTCAATATAAACAAAAAAAAAGATCTGAAATATCTTGGCTATCACAACATCCTGCCTCTCCCAGCAATCAAGAGCAGACACTTATAGCAGCCTCTAAAAATGGGAGAAACCTATAGTGAAGCTTCTCCAGAATATTCCACCTGCTTCCAGCAGAATGGATGTTAACTTCACAGTAGTGAAAGAACATTAAAAACAGGAAAGAAACTCAGGTGTAAAATCCAGTCTTACAGATTTTCATACTCTCTTTCTGAATAGAAATGCTAATATTAATGCTACTTTTAATGGCTGCCTCATAGACAAGGAAAAGCAGGAGTCATAATTCAGGTACTCATGCTGCTAGTCTTAAGTCCTGTTTACTTCCAGCAGTCCTCCTCCCCATCAACTCACTCTTAGCTCCACCATAGAAAATGCTAAGCAAGGCCGTCTAGGAAAGCATCTAAACACACACTTGACCCAAGTGTAAAAGTTCAAGAATCACATTAATCAACATTTATCATGTTGTTAATCATATCCTTACTGCTTCATTGTACTAGTACCACAATGTTCTGCATGGCAGAGAGTCTGTCAGCCACTCTTCCTTGTAAACAAGTATGTCTTTGTTACTTTAGATCCGAGGAAGACTGCAGTTTCCTCCTATTCATTCTCATAAAAAGCAAATTAAACAAATCACTAGTACAACTTATTCCCCACTCCCCTGGTCAGATTTTTGAGAAGGAAATAAAAGGATTTGTGTTCTTTGCTGAATGCTAATTTCACATCTGCCAGCTCATCTTACCAAGGCATCTTGCACCAAAAGGAAACAACGCACCAAGTTTGATCTGACAGCTTTTATCTTCACTGTATTATACTGCTACCTAATACTGTAAATCTTGCTAAGAAAGCCCAACACAGGAGAGAAAAAGACATGCTCAAGTGTTAAACACAGACAGCACTCACTTAAGTATGCTTGGATTCACAATGCACCTTCAACACTACTTCCCACTACTGGCATAAATCATCCATATGTAAGAAAATGAGGAAATGCTCTCTTCTCAGTCTTTTACATAAAAATGCCAATATTAAATTCTTCTTCCTCTATTGCTCTGCACATTTTTAGATATTCCACCAAGTCATGCCAAGCCAAGCAAGGACCACTCTTGAAGACAGGCAATGGCACGACAGAAAACTGCTCAGCAAGCCACTGCTGAAACTGTTTTAACTATCCCAAAAAACACACTGCTGAAACTCTCAGGAGATATTGTTCCTTGAGCAAAGGACTTGCAGAACTGTCAGAACTTATCTTAGACTACAGACTTACAGACCAAATGATTGCCTTTGCTGTAACAACCTCAAAAAAAGTTGAATAAGAGCAATGGAAGGAAGGATGAGATTAAAGAGTTGACAGCACACCAAGATATATAGAGACAAATGTAAACAAGGAGGGAAAAGTTAATTGACTATAAAACTGCCCTCACCTCACCCACTCTCTAATACCTTGAACAACCCTAGCAACTTTTTCAGCTAAGGCAGCTTAGCTTATCTCATCTTGCACTAAGGAGTACACCGGACAGGAAAATAAACAGTTGTCACCTATAAAAGGACTGAACTTAGAAGAAGCAGTTCCCCTTGTGGAAAGCAGACAATAAAAGTAACTAAATAAATCCTTTGAAATTGCATTATGAATACCAGAAAGAATTTCTTTAAGCATCACACATTTTCATAGAGACCCACACCACCTTTAAAAGCTGGATCATTATGAGAGCCGCTGCATTTAACACTGCAGTTTTCCTCTAAACAAGCACATATCGCATAAAATGTGAGAGGGAAACACAAATTATGACTTTGGAAAATGTGTGTCTTTTGAGCAATGTAGAACAGCAACATCATATTGCAAACATTTCAGACATTTAGAAAAAAAAGATTATTTTAAAAAATTATATATCTGAGTAGTAAAACATGCTTTTTTCACAAGGAAAATAAACGGCATTATTTCAGTGAGAAATGGTCTTTTTGTTCTCCCACTCTTGAACATGGGAGGGCAAAACATCCACAGGCCTTCTTCCCTTGACAGAAGCTCAGTCACTGTTAAAAGGAGCAGGCAGAGGACTCATTATCAAAAAATTTTGCCACCTCCTGATTCATAAGTCTTCTGAGATGTCTAAAACAGTTTCATTTACCTGTTGAATGTTTAAATGGTTTCATCACAAGAACTATCATATATAAAATGCACAACTACTTTTGTCACTAACTACACCTGTAGGTCCCAGTGACTGAGGTTGGTTGTCTGTACCCTTACTTGCACTTCATATGTTAATCTAGCAAAAATGTTAACTGAAATAAGGAATTCAAGAATGATGAAAACCACAGTCAGAATTAAAGTCATGAACTTCCAACTAATAGAAATATAAATCAATCATCACCAATTTAAAATAAAACAGAATCAGATCATAAGTAGATTGAAAATAAATGAATGTGTTAAAAACCATGTTTCATAAGTAATTAGGTCACACATCTAACAAATTTGTAATTATTTCTTTTATGACCTTGCTTCAAGACTTTTATCAGAGTATGATGTGCAGCATCACACTAGCTCTTTGGTACATTCTATGATTTACGTGGCTTTTGCTTTCTACTACAATAAGCACCTGAAATAAAAGACTTTTCCTTTCCTTGATAGTTACAATGTGGAGTCAAAAATTCTTTGATTTCCAAACATATCAACTCTGAATACCATAATAAATTCTGATTAAAATATAAACTAAAGAGTCACCATATGATGACAGACCAGTAAAAAGATATTTTAAAAATATAGCAAATAGGCAGAACTACAACACAGTACTAAGACTTTATTGGTATTCAGAGTCACTAACTTCCCTCATTATTTTATAGCCCAAACAAAATGCTTTTATACCTTCATTACCTAAGAGAATCTACACTAAATGTGCAACAAGATGCCACAGGATGCCAGACTGCCATGGCTTACAGAGGTCACTGCGCTGTGAACAATCACAAGGATTCACAGCAGCCAGAAGTTAGGGTTCCTATAGAGACAAAGCAAGGAATAGACAAAGCACAGCACCAAACACCACTTGAATCAAGACACCATGGCAAAACAAGAACAGGGACAAGCAAAGGGAAAGAGTTTCTTCTCTCCTTCTCATTTAACACATGCCAGCTGGGGAGATGAGCCTGATAAGCCCACCCCCTCCTGCTTCAAGAACATGCTCTGCCATCTCTTTTGAGACTAGCCAAAATTAACACATTTATAACCACACTTTGTTTTCTTATGCTGGTTGCTATAGTTTTTCATTTATCTCTATCCCAAGTGTCATCTAGAATTCTTGTTGAATTATTTATCAGCATTTATACTGCTCACCTTTGACAGACAGAGAAAATAAGATGTAAGGAGAAACTTAAACGAGTCCAAAGGAAAGGAATGAAATAAGCTAATTAAAATAAGTGACATGCAGCTCTTCACATTCCCCTGTTTCTGGTGAGAAGAACTGGGAGCCATAGTACCCTTGTTAAGGATCAGGAGGCTTTCCTAAAACTAGTATGCCTTTCAGGCAGTAAGTCTGACCTGAGTATGGCAAAAAGCAAGGACAACAGTCACAGGTGAACAAAGACCCCGAAGGTCTATATCATAAAAATGGTTTTCTTCTGCTACAGTAGGTTCTCCTGGTCCTAAATTCAAAAACCATGAGGCCATCTTTGGTACACCACAACACAGCTTTCTGGGAAATTTTCACAACTTTTACAGTAAACCTGACATTTCCTAATTTGTACCTCTAACAGTGCTGCACTATTCATGGGAGTCCAGTCCAGCACTGGTATCTGTGGCTCAGCTGGTGCAAAATCACAATTATAGACTGTAAGTGTGGTGTGCAACACGAAGAAGTGTGCCAACAGAACAGGGTAATGTCAGCTGTGGCCACTCCAAATCAGTGCCAAGGGATCACCACACCTGTCTTGGGACAATATCTGCATGTCCTCAGCAACCTCAGAATGTGATTCTAGAAGGAAACAGGTTGAAAGAGCTACTGCAGAGTGGCTGCTCCACACTAACTGCTCACATGAGCAGAATGATTAAACTAAACCAAGATAAAGCACTTTCTTTGTGACCAGAAGATTGATGTCCATCTGAGGAACTGGTTTCCGGGCATTAAATTTAAAACTCAAGTTATTCTGCAGTAACTGCTCCACACAGACAAGCCGTTACACAGATGAACTGCATTTCACAGATGATGATTTTTGCTAATAACATCAGTGACTTTTACTTTTCCATGGAGACATTTCTATGAGCCTCATTTCATTAAAAACTCCTCTTACATGAGGGAAGATTGCCAGCTGCCCCCACCCCATCTTAAGTCATTCCAAATGTTTCTATCAATTTGACTTCAGGTTGTGCCTCATAACTTGCATTTGATTGTCAGCATGGGAAGACACAGACTCACACTTAATTCCTTTGTGCAGTCCTAGGAAAAATATTGACTCACCTATGACATGGTCTCTGGCTGACTGGAGAGACCTGGGTGAGAAGAGCTTCAGGCCATACATCGTATAAACAGGAGGATTTGTGTCTTTAGATCCAGCATCTAGCAGCAAAATAAGGCCACACAATATACAAAAATATACAGGTCTGCTGTAGATTATGATTTTATTGTGTCCCTGGAAGAAAAACCAAGAAAAGTTAGATTTTTATATACATTCTTCTACTGCATGCACTGCATTAACTTGGAGAGAGGGTCAGGGGTCAGACAAAATATTTTAATGACTTGTACATAATAATTAGCAATTAAAATGTGAGAAGGTATTTAATCTTCTCCAGAGGAGACTTTCAAAAGACACAATGAGCAGTTAAGACTGACTCCAGCAACCATTTATGCTTTTGAAAATCAACCCTTCTGGACCTTTCAAAACTTACTAATTCTAGGAGTCATCATTTTCTGTGGAGAAAAAACCCTCAATCTTTCTGAATCTTTCTTTTCAATAGAAAATTATTTTTTCTCTATATTTCTTTTATAGCAATGAACATTTGCTTCAGGGGGCTTGACTTCTTTTTCACTTTACGAAATATAAAATTAATTTAATTTTTAATTGTCTCCTGGGAAGAAAAACTATAATAGAGCATATTCCTGGTACAGTGTGAGGCATGGAGATGGATTTTTCTTCACCAATTTAACTTTTGTATTTCTTTGAACCACTTAGCAGCAAATCAGCATGCCTTCTGAAGGGGGTGACACTCATCAGCAGCTTCTGGTCTGCTTCTCATGAAGCACTTTAAAATTATGATCCAAAGGAATTAGGATGTGGAAAGAATCTCATCTGATGTCTTTCATACAAATCTCTCACACAATTGATTCCCACTAATCCTACAAAACACTGTTGTGCAGCTGCAGGCCAGGGAACCTAACAGACACTTAAGAAGAGCCTTAATAGCTCTCCTGGCAGCAAGCTTAAGGGTAACTAAGACATTTTAAACACTGATGAGTCAAAAGACTCCTAGAGTGTGAAAAGCCAGAAGCAAAGTGACAAGTATCCAAGTTTGCCTTGCTTAAGCCGTGCAACTGTTCTTATTTGAAAAACGTAATTTAAGTGAGTATAATAAAAGATCATGTCTTTTTTTGAGTCTACTTACTGACTTGAAACTGTGGCTGAGTTTGTTTGGCTGCCAGCCAAGCTCGCATGTTAGATTGCTATTAACTGATCTGTACTCTCTTTTGGGATCAATCAGTTAGCAAGGTGGCAGATTACAGGGAACTGGTGGGCTTACATCGTGCCTCACATCCATGGAATATGAATCGAGTCAGGGACACAAATCCTTGCTCTTTAATCAATTTCAATTTTATTACTGTATTTTTTTTAATGGGACACATGTCCACCAAACAATCCATGGAGAATTATAAAGATGAAAATATGACTTTAAAAAAGAAAAATAATTCAAACTATTACTTTCTGGCCTTTTTTAAACTTCAGTTCATTTATGTAAAATGTGAGCTGTGCCTTAGGAAAAGAGACCAATAAATATGCAACTAAACAACTGCTTAATGCTTTATATCCTGACATTCACTTGAGGCTGTTTTATGGTGATTACATTCTGTTACATTCTTGTCTTACCTCTTGACCTGTGGAAAGCAGTTTTATCTTTGCATGGTGATTATTTGAAGGAAGCTGGGTAAGACAGAGTTGATGACTACAAGCCCAGAGGTTTAACTCCACACACCTTGCAGTTCCATGCAGAACAATGACATTCTCAATTAAAATTACAGTGCATATTTAACTCTTACTTCTAAAGTATTTTATGGTGTGCTGGGTGAAGAGCTGGCTGAAGGGCAGGCAGAGCTCAAAGAGCTGCACTGAAAGGGGCCACATCTGGCTGGACCCATCAGCAGTGAAGTTCCTCAGGGCTGAGTTCCAGAGCCTAAGTTTTGCTTAACAGATTATCAGTGATCTGCACATAGGAACTGAGTGCACCATTTAGCAAGTCTGCCAAAGACATCAGCTCCAGAGGTGCTGCTGACTCTAGCAAGGGTCAGGCAGCTCTGCAGAGGGAACAAGATAGACTGGAACATTGGGCAGTGATTAATGAGATGAGATGCAATGCTATATCCTGCTCCTAGGATGGGCAGGAGTGTAAATTGTGAGATGAGTGGCTGGTAAGCAGCCCTGCAGAAAAGGACCTGGGGGTGCTGCTCACCAGCAGGTTCAGTGTTAGTCCGCTGTGAGTGCCACCAGCCAAGAGGGAAAACTGCTCCTGGGGTGCACCAAACACAGCAACATGAGCTGGTCAAGAGGTGATTATCCTGCCGTACCCTGCACTGGTACTGCCCCACCTTGAGCACTGTGTACTTTGGGCCTCACTATTTAAAAGGATGTGAAGGTCCCCAAAGGCATCCAGAGGAGAGCAACAAAGCTGGTGAAATCATTGGAAGGAATGTCCTATAAGGAGCAGTTAAGGATTTTGGGCTTGTGTAGTTTGGAAAGGACAAGGCTGAGGAGCAGCTTCATTGCAATCTACGGGTTCCTGAGGAGGGGAAGTGGAGAAGGTGGTGCTGGTCTCCTGTCCCATCCAGTGGCAGGACAGGTGGGAATGGCTCTAAGCTGCATCAGGCACGAAAATTTCTTTTGAAAAGGTGGTCAAACACAGGAACAGGCTTCCTAGAGAGGTGGTTGATGCCCCAAGCCTATCAGTGTTTAGAAGAAGCATTTGGACAATGTTCTTAACAACTTTTTTTGACTTTTGGTCAGCCCTGAAGTGGTCAGGCAGTGCCACTGGATGATCACTGTAGGTCACTTCTATCTCAGTTAGAATAGAATAGACTAATTCAATCACTCTTACCATGCGAACTATAGTAATGCCACTTAAGATTGAGGAAGCAGATTCCAGAGGTTTCCTGAAAGCTGCAAAATGAGAGCAAATACTACCTTCCCTGTTTTTCAGGTGGTGGTGGTGCCTAATGAGACAGAATCTTGAAATCTTTCTAGAATCTTATCAAGAGAAGCAAAGCAATGCAGCAGCAATGCACTCAGAAGGGCAGTGCCTGCACAGCTCCTGCAATACTTGGGATGTGCTCAAGCTGAATGAGCTTCCTAGAGCACAGCAAATACTCCAGTCCCCACATCTGGGGAACATGCAACACAACACAAGAAACAGGAACTGCTGCAAGTATTAATGTGGTATTTCACTGTCATTTACAGGTTTCATGTGAGTGGTATTATTTGGGACAGGACTGGTTTGAGGACAACAGTGGACACCTTCTGGGAAAGAGAGGATCACTTCTCAAAAGTCACAGCCAGGGAATAGACATTAAACTTATTTTTTTTAAGTTTTAGAAAGAAACAAACAGAAAAATAGGAGCAAAGCCCTCCTGTACCTGTCACTGACAGATAAAGCTAGACAGCCCTTCACCAAAATGGCCATGTGGCAGCACAACTTGTGTAAAGAGCTATTTTAGATATTAAGGGTTCATTTGGTAGTACTAGGCAAGCTCACCAGATTTTGCCATACAAAATTGATTTAATCTTGGTGAAATTACTCTACTCTTCATTTTTGTTTAGAAAAATTTAAATAATGAAGCAGAATTCCTTTTATATTTTACACCTTATTTGCTAAACAATCCTTTTCTTTCCTTCACTAATAAAAATATCAGTGAAAGCTTTTCCTTTCCTGTAGTCTGCTAAAAAAGTCACTTTTTTCATGTCCGTGTTTCTCATTAATATGTTTCAGATACACATTCATATCTTACCAACACAGCAATGATGCATATCATATTTCTAGAACAATATTAAGACTTTCAACAAAGAATAATTTCACAAACACTTCCATTTACTATAACAGCAGTTTTGACTGCAAAGCATTTTGATAGGAAAATTTTAGAAAGATCGAATGGGTTTTCTTTTGTTTGTGGGTGCACACATATTAAAGGAGAAAGACAAAAGGTTTTTTTATATAAAGAAATGTGCACGTGCTCAGTTCTACAGAAAAGCTTACAGGGACAAATTACAAATACTTTTTAAGTGCCTTATGGGATTTAGGAAACTGCCTATGGTAGGTACACAACTGAGTTAGCTATCTGCTTTGGGACATAACAGGACTGAGAAAAGGAATTTATGCAAGAGATTCCCTAAATCTTGTTAAGAGCACAACTGCAATCCTTCAAGCTCAAATGCCTTTGTAAGCCCAAGCTAGATGTTGAGCTATACAGGTGTCTTATGAGGTGCTTAGAGACAAGCTCTCCTGATCCTTCTATAGAGCCTTTTACTAAATGTAAAACCTTGCCTAAGGTTTTTCTAAAATCTTTGAGTGCACATGACAAGTATCTCTAGGATCTCTGAATTTTAATACCCTGCAGCCACCAGCAGGTTTCTTGTATCAGGTCACTAACAGTAAAATATAACACACTTTGGAATGGACTCAATTTTCTTCTCTCCAGCGAGGAGGCTGCTCCCAAATTTCACCATCCCAGAACCAGGTACCCCTTTGAAACAGCACATAAAGACCACCAGCTCCCAGATGACCAGAACTGGAAAGGCTAAAGCTCCAGCTGACAGGAAAATTAGACTCCCAACTTGTAGCAGGCACCAGTACTAAACCTGCAGCAACAATAAATGCCAGCCCTTTCCTCAACAGCAGCAAGTGAATACATTGACACTCAGAAGGAGTTTGGAACAAAAGCTTATGGCATCTCTAGGCACCATGTTTTCTGCATTCACTGGATACTATTTTAAAGCAGTCTTTCAAAATGCTACAGGCTGGAGATGACAAAGTCACGTTAAATAGTAACAAACTCTGCACATGATATAGGGAAGAAGTTTGGAACCTCCTTGGTAGCCATGGATAACATAAGGCATTAGTGGCTCCTCACAGATCCATGAACAGAACTTAACTCACTATGCAGATCTGAGGCTCATAATGGTTTGTTTCACACTCAAAAAAATCTCATCTGCATTTTCATTCATGGGTGTGATACTGATCATTGTTCAATCGCTCTGCTGTTCTGTATCCTTACATTAACATCAAGAGACATTATTGTCTTTAAATTTAATGCAATCACATGAATTATGAAACAGCACATGGAGTATTCTCTTCTTGCCTTCTCATTCTTCTATTTCTGAGGTGCTTAGCTCAAGCAAGCCTTTACAAATACCTGCTGTGTTAAGAAGTTATAATGTAGAAATTGCTAATCTTCTATTTTGGCATGACAACAACTCCATCTTTAAAACCCTTAGTGGAAAAGATTTCTAAATTTTATTTCTATTGGAGTTTGTATAGTGCACCAAAAAGTTTGCAAGAAAGTATCCCTAATAAAGTTTTAGGAAAGAAAAGGAAGACGGGAATACACCTATTGTTACTTTGTTCCACTGCTGCATGACTTATACAATACAATACAGCAAATAACGCTTGTAATAGTATTGTAAGAACCTGAAATTCAGACCTGGATTCTGCACCAAAAAAAAGTTCTGTTTAAACACTACCTTGTGTTTAATACTATAAAAACATATGGGCTGGATAGGTACATAATGAAGTTTTGATTAATCTATGTGCCACCCACTTTGAACAAATGTACACATTATTAATGTCTGATTAAGTGCAAACTACTTGATTACAGTTCACATTATTATATCTAGACAGATGCCAGTTGAGCTGACAAATTATATTATTTTACTCACAAGATCCTCCAACTTTTCACTGAGATTGGACTATTTCTCTAATGTATTGAAAATATTACCCTACAATGGGTAAGTTGCTGTTTATTACCTTTCTCTACTTTTTATGCAGACAGGTATTTCCTATGAATGCACTATGACCAAAACCACCATAACTTCACCCCTAAATAATTGGCTTGGAAAAGAAACTGAGAATCTTCTGAAATCCAGCTAGTGAAGTGTGCAGTATACACATACAAATAACATCAATTTCAAGTTCAGCCTGTACTTCTAGCCTCTAAACTGACAAAAATAATTGCTCCCTGCCAAAGGGAACTGATCCAGCAGACCTGAAGTTTTCAACATGTCATTTTTGAAACTTGAGGGAAGAGAGGATATCCTCTAGAAGATTCAAAGAGCTAAATAAGAAACATAAGCAACTAGCATCCAGTGTAAAAGAAAGGAAAAGGCATTATAGCCACTGAAATGTCTTCCAAGATCCACAAATCAAAAATGCTGAGACACCATGACAGGTGGAGTGGTAAGGTTGAACTTGTAGGATGATGCCTCTAGAACAGTCAGACTTAACAAGGACAGACTTGTGTAAAGAACTGGTTCTCTGGAAGGTGGTTGGCGCCATCAGAGTTCAATTTCTTAAACATATCCAATAAAAAAACCCATATCAATCAGCAAGGATCCTTACATCCTGCACTCACCCAAAGATGTCGTGATTTCTTCAGGACACAAGCACAGAAACTGTGACCATATTGTAACAAAGGGAAAACACCTGTGCCATTTGAGGAGCTAATAATACTTTTAACACATAAATCCTCAGTAGCAGATTTAAAAAATAAAAAGATCAATCCCCAGTGTCAAAGAAAAAAAACCCCAATTGAGCAACGACTGAGCTGCTAGTCTGGAACTTCTGCTCTTTTCGACCTGTTTCTAAAAGAAAGCCAAGAAAAGGTTTGTGTGATGGCACACGCTCAAACATCAGCAAGATAGTCCAGATTAATTTTTTACTGCACATATTAACTTAAAGAAAAAGAGCTTTTCTAATAGCTGTGATAAATTCAAATAGCTTAAAAATAATTAAACGTAGTACAAAGTCTTGAAATCACAGATGTCTTTTTCTTCTTCATAAATCAGCTACAACAGCAAACAGCTAATACCTGTGTTTCACTGAACAGACAGCTGTTTCACAGTACACAAGTGATAATAGAGGAGAAAGACTTGTTTTACTGACTGAGACTTACATGTATGGGCGAAGCAGGATCAGGCTGAACACTCTAAAAAAACAGAAAAAAAGATGTTTGCTCACAGGATTTTTTCTTTGTAGAAGCTAGAAGAGAATTCAGCAATTGGCTATGAACTTGAGTCCTACCTTGAGGAGAGAATACTGGCAGCTGGCCATTACGAGACAGAACAGCAGAACCCAAATGTCTTTACAGAATCCCTGGTTCAGAGTCAGGAACCCAAGAAGGGAAACAAGAACTACTAGAAGGACAGCAAACACATTTTCCTTTATATCTTCTGTCCTATGTGAATAAAAGTGATGGAGAAGTACAAATATTTATAGATTCACTAGGGCAAGGCAGGTGCATTTGTAGCTGGTATGAGCTGTCAGTGCTGCAGCCATCAGAATTCACTGGATCCCACAACTACATTTCCATGTTCAACAGTATTTCATCCCCATGCCAAAAACCTTACCCAAAATGACAGCTAAAACATCACAGGAAAAAAAGCCATATGCACTGAAGTCTAATATTCCTTCCCATCTCACTTTACAATTAGAATTCCAGCATGGAGATGATTTGAGTGCAGAAAAGTGTATGCTTATAAAAGCAAAAACAAACAAAACAAAAAAACCCCAACACATGAACAACTACAAACAAAATTAAATACCCAAACACTTCTAAATGAGGAAATAAGGCATTCCATTAATGATAAATATACATCTGACAGCAAAGAACTGGATGAAAGACCAAATTTGTCATCTGATGTTTTATTTGTTTTATCTATTCTGTTAGAACATGGAAGCTGAGATAAAGAACAGTGTCAATATTCAGGCTATAACAAAAGAGTTTATCAGCAGAAAAGATTTCCATGCAATTGAAACATAGAGATAAGACACCACAGATAAGTAAATATCTGCTCTAGACTTAAAGGTCCCTGACATGCAGCCTGATTTCTGCATCAGGTAAAACTGCCATCTGAAATTTCTGCATGTTAACCCATATGACACAGCACCCCCAACAGAAGCAGACACAAATAAACTTGAACTGGAACAGATACAGCAGCTCAAAAATCTTCACCTGAATACCACTGTATAAATATCAGATTAAATATACCATTCTATAAATAATTTTATTTTTTTAAACATTGGAGTACTTGGTTTACTTGGTACCCTGGGACCCTTCTACTACTGATTTTCTCATCAGAAATCACTGGATCTATAACACCTGTGAGTCAAATTACAAACTAGTCTACAAGCCTGGCACTCACATGAATCAAAGTCTCTGCCTGAAGACAAAGGATAGCAAGAACCACTGAAACCAACCCTAAACATCAACTTGAAGCAAAACCACATTTACTCAACCGGAATTCTCCTTCTCTAGTGACCAGCACTGCTTTTTGGACATGAGGAGCCACCCACCTTAACACTACCTAGAGCAGCTATTAAAAAAAAAGCTTACCTGTCCAACAATGCCAACAAGGTAAGACGATCATACCAGACTTTAATCCACTTGCCAGGGAATATAACAAATCTGTAAAACTGCCTGTTCAGCTTCCGCTGTGCTGAAGAACATGAAGAATCCTCAGGGTCCTGGCTGGGCTGCTATAAAAACAAATGAGAAATACACAAACTCTCTCACACAGCTGCCAACAAAACATGAGTCCAAAAGGCCAAATTTACATGAAGTATCAGATTTTTTTTAATTTATTATTTTTTACTAAAAGCAATAGCATATTAGCATATTTATTTTCTTAATTTTAAATTAGAAATAAAAATATCACACCAGCTTAATTGTTGCAGATGAACAAAAGCTATATTAATTATGGAGCTCAATAGTGATAATATGCTTTAAAAAGTAATACTAAATATTCATTTAAAAAGTAATCATTTTTTAGTCCAGATCCAGTACATCTATAAAGTTTCTTTTAGGAGCTTTTCCCATGTATTAGGCTAATTACAGCACAACACAAAAACATGACGGAACAAAACCTTCTTTTTAAATAAATAAATAAATAAATAAATAAGTAGGCCTTAAAGTCTAGAGGTATGACTTATCGACTTTTCTTCCAGAACACAGCTTTGTTTATCTCTCCAGAGATGCTTTGAATGCCACATCAGGTGTGCCTCCTCAAGAACAGCAAGAGGAGGAAAAAGAATTGCAAACAAGCACAAATGGCATAAACAGTTCTAATTTAAGAGTCTCTAATCATACCATCATAATCATAAATCCACTCTTTTGAATATTGCTTTTGCCAGATTCTAAGGCTTTTTCCAACTCTTCTCTACAACTCCCCTCCAACTATCTTCAGGCCATCAGCCAACCCTACAAAGCTAGACAACAGATGAAGAAAATCTCTGCAAAGCAGTGATTTTTTTTTCCAAAGTATATCATTACTGATGTTATGGAGGGGGAATAATCAATCATTTTTCTTCCAAGAAGAAGAATTTGAGATTTCAAATTACTGTGAAGTCCAGTGGTTTTCAACCTCCTCTTAGGCAGCCTTTTACCCACCCCTCCTTAAAGATAATTAATCAACAAATATACTTATTATGGAACTCTAGGCAACGTCTGCATTAGAGTTATCTATGTTAGATCAACATTCCTAGTCAGGGCAAGGGATTTCTGTGTGAAGCAACTGATTTTAGAATCATAACTGTAGCAAAGCACAGTTTTTGAAACAACCTGTCCACCTGCACAAAGGAATTGTTACTTTTTTTTTCTCAGTATACTGGTATAATTTCTAATCTTTCCTTTCCAGGAAAAGGAATTTTACACAGAGTTTACACATGACAATGTATTACTGTGCATCAGCTGGGAAACAACTCAGATATCCTCAGTCCGTGGAAAACATGAGGTGAAATAAGCTAGCATAAGCTCTGGAGAAAGAAATTCAAGTTTAGGCATTTCATCTCATGTCTCCAATTGACTAAAAGTGTACAGCCACTGCAGGGCCAGAGAGCTCAGCTGCTAGTAGTGCAGGACAATCACTCATATTTCTGAGCATTGAGACGAGCAAGGAGATGCTGAGGTATTTGGCATTCTTTCCTTTATTAACAATTCTGAGCAACTTAAAAGCCATGAGACCAATTGCAATCCTTCCACTATGCTGATTTAAAATCTGAAAATAATTTATATAGTCCAAATTTTAATATTTTTGTTACTACTTTAAAAAGTAACTTAAAGATGGGGTCAGGGCATTTTTAAAGAAAAAAACATGTTTTAAAATATTACAGTTGCTAATACTGGCACAGTTTTGTTTCTCTTGGGGCCTATTACCCAACAGAAAGTAAAGCAAAACTCAGTCCACTGCAGTCATTAACTTCACAAATCTAATGTAGATTGCTCACCATAACTAGATAAAAAAATTCAAAACAGTGGCAGAGACTTCACTAAAAACACCTGAGGATCTGATTGTTGATTCCCCAGAACAGCCTAATGTGCCTTTAGCTGAGTGCATAAGTGAACATTTTGGCTCCAGAGGAGCTGTAACCTTTGATATGCTGACTTTAAAATCTGAAAATAATTTATGTAGTCCAAATTTTAATTTTAATATTTTTGTTACTACTTTAAAAAGTAACTTAAAGATGGGGTCAGGGCATTTTTAAAGAAAAAAACATGTTTTAAAATATTACAGTTGCTAATACTGGCACAGTTTTGTTTCTCTTGGGGCCTATTACCCAACAGAAAGTAAAGCAAAACTCAGTCCACTGCAGTCATTAACTTCACAAATCTAATGTAGATTGCTCACCATAACTAGATAAAAAAATTCAAAACAGTGGCAGAGACTTCACTAAAAACACCTGAGGATCTGATTGTTGATTCCCCAGAACAGCCTAATGTGCCTTTAGCTGAGTGCATAAGTGAACATTTTGGCTCCAGAGGAGCTGTAACCTTTGGATGAAATCCTCTCTCTGAGTCTTGTAGTGCTTTGGTGGGAGATTTTTGAGCTGGATTTGGGAAACTCTCTGACTAGCCCTGAGCAAGCCACTCAAGTCTAACTGCTTCTCCTATCAAAAAACGGCTTATAAAAATTCACTTCATAAATTTATATGGTGTCAGCGACAGCCTGAAGCCCTAGCTTCATAGAAATCAATGACAATGCTTTCCTGACTTATGTTAGCTCAGAATTTCATGTTTAAGAAAAAAAATTCAGAAACCAGGGCATTCTGAAATTACTACCTGGCCTGGCTACAAATTTGCTAATGTGACCTTGAGGAGCAGCCTTCCTAAAAGAGAAAGAAGAAATGACAATTGTTCTCTAATTTACAGGCAGTTTACAAGTCTATAAATGTCTGGAAAACATCAGAGCCTTTAGATGGAAGACACTGTCCAAATATGAAAGACATTATTTGGGACAATTTACTGATTTTTAGTTTAAAATGGTTCCTTTATACAAGTTGCTTCTAGCTTAACATTCCAGTGTGAAATCTAAGATGAAAGGCAATTAATTGTCATTTTACTGTTATTCATAAACACCAAAATAGAATTTGCCATGGCAGAAAGTCAAAGGTATTATAAAAGGAATTGTAAAAACAAATTATAGCCTTAAGTCACAGACCCCAAACAAAGTGAAGTTTATGTCCACACAAGACCATGCAAACTGAAGTCTGAGTGCCTTTTTTTTTTACTATCTGCATTGAGGAGGTGGCTTCAACATTCCACAGCAAACATTCAGAGGTCTGGTTGCCCAACTCAGAAAAGTGAAACCAGACATAAGGTTTTATGACAGCAATGAGTCTGGAATAAACACTTCATACTATTAAAATCTGGTGGTGTGTCTAAAATCCTAACAGCTGTGTCCTCTTCCAATTGAAATATGGTTGAAGACAGAAGATGAACTTTTTCAGTGACAGAGTCTTTAAATAGTCCCCTAGGACACTATTCAGTGCCAGTAGAAAACAGCTGAGTTGCATCCATCAACATAAAACACATCTTCTCCCACATGAGCAATACCAGGAAAAACATTATAGCAAAATCAACAAAATTGTCTCAGGAACAAGCCTGCAGCATTTGTTTATTGAGCAGTTCATCAAGATGCTAGAAACTCAGATATAACAATGTACCCGTGGGTTTTCTGAAAGGGTCCTTCTGGCCACCATCAGCAGGAGCTGCTGCTGAAGAGCGCTGGCTGCTTGATCCCCAGAAGATGGCTCTTGGCTCTCTGAAGTGGTAGTGCTGGAGGAGCTGAACTGTATTTCACTGTGCACAGAGAATAGGAAATAGATTGTTTTAAGCAGCAATATTATCTCAACAATTCTGAAATATTACAGGAGAAGGCCTGCAATTACACTACTGGTTGGCTCACGGGACTTGGGAACCTTCCACCTTCATATCTGAAATCTAGCACAGAGCCACAAAGCAGTCAACACCCAAATTCAGATACACTTGATTTACTACATCCACCACAGAGAAACAGATACTTCTGTATCACAGCTTTTCTCATTTTGAGATGAACACCCTCAAGGAATCACACTTCAGAAGCGCCTTTTTCTGTCCATTGACAATTTAAGTTTAGGGATGCACATCTACAGAGCAAAACTGCAAAGTAGATACTGCAGAGATCCCAGAATAGCTTCCAATGAGCTCACTTAGGTACCAAGCTAGTCTGGTTTCACCTGCACTGAATTTGGTGAGTACTGATTTACCCTGCTGAAAATTCAGGCTACAAGAATTTCCTTCTGCCCCAACAAGATAATAGTACATGAGCTAATTCACATAAGGCTAATTCACATATCCCCCATATACTGAGTGTAAACACACCCTGGGAGGGCCCTGAGCAAGATACTGTTTATAGTTTTTCCTTACATTTGTATTGTAGCACAGCACCTAAACACTTGTGAAAATCTGCACTTAGAGCAGCAGTGCCTGCTGTGTTGCAGAAATCATGTTACCATGACATGACTGACTGGGTTTCAGAGACAACTTTATTGAAATGAAATAATTGTTACTTGGGGAAGAGATCTATTTTAAATACTTCTTTCTAATTCTCTTCCAAATGGGATTTATACATCAAGTGCTCTGCTCCAAGCTCATTGCCCCACTAGCTCTGGATACCTGCCTTGGGTTCTTACTACTTTTGCATCTACATGAGGTGAAAGCACCTAAGTGCTCATGCAAGGTAGTCAATAGCTGTTCTTATCTTGCATAAAGACAAGAAGGAAGAAACTAGAGAAACTAGAGTAATCTGCCTACAGTCAGCCAAGAAGCCTATGGCAGCACAAAGATTAAAACCTTCCTCTTGCATACCCTACATGTGCCCCAAAGGCACCTTATTAATTTTAGTTAACTCAACTTTCCTTGCTTTTGGTTGCCAGTTCCCAAAGGCTCCTACATAGCCCTTGTTAAAGCACTAAAACTGTCCTGCACATGACTGGCTGTTAACTCCAGCTACAGTGGTTAACATTGTTCTGGAACACAGCTCAGTGTCTGGATTACTTAAAAGAAGGGCTGAAGCGCCACACCAACAGGTTGAAATGCACACACTCTCTCCTTCCCTCCAGGATTTGATAGCTCTGCCTGGACCAACAGGAACACGATCAGCCTTGGGATGTCAGCAGAAAAGCCATCCTGCCTCTGGTTTCTGAGCCAGGTAGTTTATGTTTTCAAAGCCTTGATTGCTATCAGGCTTGAATTCCAGACCTGATATTCACTATCTGCCATTCCAGCAGAACTCCCAGCTGAGCAGAAATGAGAGCATCCCATGCTCCTGACCCTCACGGCTTCCTCTGCACTCCACGCTCCGTGCTACTACAGACAGCAGCATGATCTGCTCCACAATCAGGAAAGCAGTCATGTTCCCTTTGGACAGTACCAGCAAATGAGAACGTGGTCCACCACAACCCACTTGATGTCCCAGCCACAAAGCAGCCCTCTGTAAGAATCATCTCCTTTGTCAGCAGTTATTAACAAAACAGTACAGAAGGGATGGCACTCATCCAAGATCCTGGATCACAACCAGAAGATTTAAGCATGAGGAAAGTGAAGGAAGCCTTGAGGAATGTTTCCCAGAAGTAAGATTACCACAGCCATGGACTACAGAGCAACCTTGCCCAGTCAGAAGAAAGGCAAGGGATTTTTTGTTTGTTTCCTCAGGATGAGCTGTCCCATTCCTTGTCATTATGGGTGCAACCCTCAGCCTCCCTGTTCACAGCAAGAAGGCAGCAAATTTAGCCCAGGCTATGCAGGAACACTAGCCTGGAAATTCCTGCCCAAAAGGTGACTCAACAAAAGAGCAGGGGAATAAAACAGTTGTTGCTCATGCCTTCCTAAATGAAGAGTCAATCTTCACTAAATTGCTACATCTTTAGCTGTCTTTCTACAAAAGCCAAAAGTATTTTGAAATTGGACCACATCTTTAATCCCACATTCACCAAAAATGGAAATGGCAGAAGGACAGATGGATGGAACAGAATACCAGAGGAGTCTATCAGTTCTCAGAAATTAAAAAGTCTTTTATCAGTAAAGTTTCTTCCAAGAATAAACCTAGGGGATCAAATCATCTCCCATCAGACTTGAAGTTAACAAAAAAACTAAGAGTGCCCATGGTCTGTTTTGTGTTTGTATTAAAAATCCATAGCTCCGCCTCTCAGCAAGTGGCAGAGGAGACACTGACTGTGGGAAAGAGTCAGAAACTTTATAAGCCTGAAAAAGCAATTAGGGCAGAGAAGTTGGGAAGACAGAGCTAGTAAAGCAACAATTCCAAAATCAGAATCTGTCATTTGGCAATCATCAGCCTCATTTCCCTGTACCTTCTTATTCTCTCCTCATCTTCCATTTCCTTCAGCTCCTGTCTACTGCTTTTGTCTTCCTTATCCCTATTTTACACACAACCTCCTTCTGACATTCACTTGCTACCCCCAAAGATGAATTGCTTGCACAGCTACTTAGAAACTGTACATCTCATCTGATGACATTGCTATCACACTGACAGCAAACACCAGTAAGAAATGCAATGACAGTGTTTGTGTTTTTGTAAGCCTATAAACTAGATTCTGTAAATTTATTACCATATATAAATAGGAGCAAACACTCTCTAATCATAAAATCATTATAACAGAGCTGATCGCAGTATAACACGGAATCTTGCTAAATAGAAAATCTGTTCATTTGCAGAATCAAATTAATATTATCAAGATCTATCACAGTAAACTGCACTGCTAATGTAAGCAAAGGTATAATTGAACTAAATTTTGAGTAATAAATTATTAACTAAAAATATCTCTGATAAACATATAACCTACGCAGATCAAATTCAAAAGCAACATAGCACCCTCTACTGATAATTGAGTATAAAACCAGGAATTTTTTCTCTGGCTCATAATCCTGTTTTGTAAGAACACTCAGCAAGCAAAAGGTAGTGGAGTAATCATATAACACAACATATAGAATGTTTCAGTATAACCACGCAGTGCCGGAAAAAATCTTCCTTTTCCCTCTCTGTTTAGCCTGTTGCCTTATACCATCGACAACTTGGCCTGAGCCATTCAAACACAACCCAGCCTAAATCATCCCCTTTCTTAGGATTAGCTTGCCTTGGGTCTGACACCCCTCCATGAGTTCATTATACAGGCACACCACAAAGAATTCCCTGTTAATAAAGCTGTTTTGCAACTCTCGGTTAAATTTCATTTTAACCTGCATATTGGAGAAAGGACAGGTCTTCACATGCTAAAAACCAGAGAGATCACACTGGACTGCCTAAGACAGCTGTCTGGGTTTCTACAGAGTTTACAGTATGTAATAAATATCATAGTGATAATAAATAATACAGGCAAAAGCTGCATGTAATACTTCCTAAAATACTGCCCTTAGGTGATGGTAAGCAACTACAGCTGTGAAGAGCCAGAAGGCAGCTCAGAGTTGGAAATGACTCCTCCTGCACATCCTACAAGCAATTGCTTCTGGAGTACTGGTCTGAGGGGCACTGAACTGAGACCTGAGTGACGTGGCTGTACAAGACCCAGCCAGTGCTCACAACACAGCAGGAACTCAACACACCCATACCCTTGTGCTCTTTCAAAACAGCCAGTTTGTGGCTCAAATGCAGCTGTCTGAACTGATGTTGCTCATTAGGTCTCCACTAGAGAGCTGCCAGCACCAATTTGACCAGAGTACTGCACAGTTCAAGACTGACACTAAAAGCCACTAAAGTTGTGGATGTTGCTTCTTTTCAGAAAATGACGGCTTACCGTTCCCAAATAACAAGACTCACACTAAAAAGCAACTCAGAGCATGTAAGAAGACTGAAATATGCCAGTGATAGCTGCATTAGCAGTGGATGATTATTTCACAAATCCAATCAAAGGAAAAAGAAAAAAACTCAAAGAGGAAGCACTCTTCACTTTTTTTTTGTAAGACTTAGCAGTTTAATAAAGTTTAAAATTAATTCAGAATGTGCATCTTAACTATTTTCAGTGCTTACATCTGATGGCAGCTCAAGTTAAAGATGAAATCTCTCTTAAATGTTGTTCATATTTTGCTAGTTGTACAAATGTATATTTATACCCATTTTACTACAGGATTTGGGGATAATTTTTAGCATTTGTTTTAACTAGCAAAAATAACATCCCTAACAACAATAAGGCAGAATACCTGAGTTTACAGAATGTAAAAGCTGGATGTAGTGATATACTGACATAATAGGCAGGAAAGATATCAGATCACTGTTGCAGTGCTGCAATAGACTGCAAAACAAGCAGTAGTACATGTTAAGTCAGCTACTGCAGATGGACAGAAAGACCTTGTAAAGCACGTTCCCAAAGGCACTGTGGTCAATATAGAGGCAGGAAGTGATGAATGCCTTCTTACTCAAATGTTAAGAATGGGGTCCATTCAGTACACTCTTACTTTCCAGTATTCAGATACTTTTATGTTGCTAATAAGCATGTAAACTGATAATTTGCAAGCCTATTACATTTCAAAACAAAGATAAATATACCAAAAACTTTAAAAACAAATAGTATGTGTTAGCTAATATACTAGAGGATGCATTTTGAGAAGATGCAGCCCTATTTGAATTAGTGCATTAATAGCTTCCAAAGTTGTGTTATCTCCAAAATACTTTAAAACATTCCTTTTTGCTCTCCTTATGGGAGGGCAGGGGATGGCAGAGAAACCAGTCAGTCCTAACACTTACAGCACTCCATAAGCTCCTAGTCCTGAGCAGGATTTTGCTGCCATCATGTGGCAGCATGGTCCCC